TTTTTTTTTTGTTCTGAACCACGACGTGGTTCTGGATGGGCCCCAACTATGGATGGCACCTTTAAGCCTTAACCACAACCCAGACTAATTCCCGCTCACACTGGGTCGGCCCGTAAAGGGTAAAGTGCTGGCCAAAGTGGTGACTCCGTACAAGAGCAGGGATCGAACCCCTAACCTCTCTTAAGGAATGAGAGTGCCGAACCACTCACACCAACCACCTTGGTTGCTTTCTCTTGTTTTGCTTGTGTAGATTATACATTAAAAAATAATCAAATGTCAAATTGGAAGTAGGCCCTTTTTAAAAAATATAAATAAATTTTACAAAAATATCATAAGTGAAAGAACACACAATCAACCGATGCTTCAACTCTTGATTCATCCTACCAGGGACCCACAAGGAAATATGTAATTTCTTCATCTTTTGGATGCAATGGGGGCCCCAAGGCCCAGAGAAATAAAACTAAGCACTAACGCTTCTGGGCCTAGAGTCCATGGATAGTGGTTTAGTGGGCTTTCTGGAATATGAATTTTTGTTTACTGGGTCTAAATTGTCTCGGACAACTGAAGGGTTAATGGGTTTTTTTTGAACCGATCTGCAATGTATCAAATGGTTCCAACTTCCAAGATATCAAGTCTCCCAAACTGGGTTTTAATGAAACTTGCCATACAAGCAATAATTTCTCCAGGGCCAGCCACTCAACTCACCACAGCAAAAGAAAAACAAAGGAACTCATATAACATACAATGTATGGAATTATTCATCAATACAACATATAGAACAGCAGCTAGCTATGGCTTTCATTATTTTAGTTAATTACACTCAAAAGGGTGTGACTTCTTGAGAAAAGAAGAAGAGGCCAGAAGGAATGCCACTTGGAAATACTGCTAAGCGCACAACATTTTCAGCAGCTTCGTCAACGGTAAAGATGCCAGCATTGAAGGTCATGTCTGTTTTGACAAATCCAGGGCAGATGCAATTGACACAAAAATTTGGGTACTTCTTGGCCACAATTCTAGTGTATGCATTCAAGGCTGCTTTTGAGAGTATATACGCAGAGAGGGCTGGAGGCCAGCATTTGTTTTCCAGCATATCTTCTTTGAAATCTCTTAGAAACTCATTCAAAACCTCTTCTATTCTCTCTTCTGTAAGTTTCTCAGCATCATTCAACACCCCTTTGGCCCATTCATTTGGTATAAGCTGAAGAAACATGCATCATAGGAGAATTTCAGTTGGCTCATTATGCAAAATAGGAATTTTATTTTAAGGGATTAAGTGGTAAAATATAATGAGGATGAAAAAATATGAGAACTCTTCGTACCTTTAACCTCCCCCGGCCAGAAGAAATATTGACAACTCTTGGTGACTCGGATAGCTGGAGGAGAGGAACAAATGCTTTGGTCATTTTCTTGGTACCATAGTAGTTTGTTTTAATGCATTCTTCAGCTAACTCATATGTCTGAGCCAACATTTCACTCCAGTTGACCTCCACATCTTTCCGCATCAAGAAGAAGAAATTTTATATATTTTCTTGGTAATAATTATTGATTACCGTCCAATAATCCTCTAATATCAGACATAGCCTTACTTAAGGTTCAATTAATTTATATTTGATTGCTAATATAGCAACAATTTATCAGTACTCTAAGAACTCTGTAATTTATCAGTACTCTAAGAACTCTGTAACATGTACTAACCAACTAATCAAGCAGCTAAGGTCCATAATCTCACTTCATAGGCTTGGAGGAACTCTATTATGGAGTGCATATCATACGAAAGGAGTCATTAGCGTCATGTAACGGAGGCTAGAATGGTATGACACAGATTTTATTCTTATGTAGAAATTAAAAAGAAAAAAAGGCATATAATTTAATTAGACTAGTCCACTGGATAAAAATATCTCCCCCTTAGTTAATTCTATAAGATCAATCACATCCTAGAACAATTACAAACCATGTAAAGCAGAAAATTAAACCATGACTATGCTGACTAAGTGCTGCATTCCTAACCCCCACTTGCATTTTCTTACAGATCAGCTTACCTTACCAAGTCCTACAGCTGCAGCAGCTCTGAGAGCTTCAGGGTCCATAATGGTTCCATTAACCCCTGCATTGTTTACCTATGGAAGTTCCACACTTCTCATCTTTGTTAAATCCTTGTCAACTATAGTCATAAATGCATTGAAGAAAAAAATTTATCGATAATTTTCGAAATGAGCATAAAAAATGAGAAAGAGAAGCTGGATTATACATACCAAGATGTCTAGTTTCCCAAACTGGGTTGTGACAAAATCTGCCAGGGAAGCAATGCTAGAAGGGTCTGTGACATCAAGCAGATGAAAAACCACAAGGTCTGAGAGGCCACACTCTTTTAATTTTTCAACAGCTTCAATACCCTTCTTCTCATCTCTAGCGGTTAACACTGTCATGACCCCATTTGAAGCCAGCTGCCTAACTATTCCAAATCCAACTCCCTTATTTGAACCTCTAACAACTGCATACCTGAAAAAAAGAAAAAAAAGAAAAGAAATTCACACTACAAATTAATGAAATAAGGGTGTTAATGTGAACAAGAGCTTGAGATATTTATGAATTATGAAGCTTAAATCCATCAGGGTAAGCAATAGGTATGGTACCTCTTTCCTGCTTCTGCCATTGTTGATGGGAATTCAGCTTTCTTTTTCTTATTCTTGCATTACTATATATAATTAACCTGGAGTTGTCTCCTACTATCATTTTATATTCGTATAATTTGTTTTAAAATATTCAACTTTTGGTGTTGGGTTGCTTCCTTTCAAGTACAGATTCCTTATTTGTAGATTCTGCATTAGTTTTAAGTTTTAGCTTAGCAAAGCAAGAGTGCTAGTTTGTAATGCAATGGCCAATTAGACCATATAACACAAAGCAAAGCAACACTAGTCTTCTGGATGTTAACCTTCTAAACGTTGACTTTTGAGTGTATGAGCATTGCCCACCAACCATAAGTGATGCCTCAATTCTTAATTCCTGGGAACCAATAAAGAAAATCATAATTTCTTATTAAAAAAGGAATTAAGTACCGCTGCTCCTTTTTATTCTTTTGGGTAACTTATGCTGATTTAGATTAGTAGGATTTCTGAAATATGTATAAAAATTTGATATTTCATCCCAAAAAAAATACTTGCACAGTGTTTACTTATATATGGATGCAATGTATTAGCATCTGAATTGATTAACTCATCAGCAACAAAAACAAAAGCTAATTAATCAGTTAATTACACTGCAAATGAAACCTGATCAATGAAAACCTGATCAGAAAATCTTTACAAAAAGAACATGACGTAAATCACAATTAGGGCCTTAAAAGTCTTCATCTCCCTGCTTCTCTAAGAAATGAATCTAGTGTGGTCCTGTCCATAACTTCACTGCTACCTTCCACTCCTCTACTTCCTTGGCCACCACATTCATCACCAATATCAACAACATTGCCACTCTTACTAGAACTCCCTTCACTCTGGTTGGTACCAATTTTCCCAGCTCTTTTTACCACAACAATAGCCAAGTGAAGCTGATTGTTGTTAGCCCGGAACGACCAAACTTGGATTACATCACCAGCAACCAGCTTGTTTTTCAAAACAACCTTACCCCAAGTAGTTCTCAACACATAGGTTTTTGTTTCTGAGTTTGACAGCGTCCACATAGTCAAGTTTATCCCTTCTTTATCTTCAAGCTTAAGACTCGGATCTATAAATGGAACTTTGAGGGAAGGCGATGGACTTTTTAGGGAAACCTGATCATGATTTTTCTTCTCTTTCCTCTGTTTAAGAGCTTCAATCTCATCAGGCGTGAGGAAATCGTTGGATAAGACTTGGTTTGGAGGCAATGAAAACCTATTTAGATCGGGGTTTACATCACTGGGGAACAATTTCTTCTGTATGAGACATGTCAGCTCTGTGCCATTCATCTGGCCTATTATCATTTTCTTGAAATCTTCAGGCAAATCAGGACGATGGTGAAGAGTAGGACCCTTGTTGTTCTTGATGTACATCTTCTTCTTCTTCTCCTTTTTCTCCTTCTTCTTCTTGGGAGCAGCCCAATCTTTATCTCTATCATCATGATCATCATTGGATTTTCTTTTCAACCCATAATTATTACTCCTTCTATGCCCATGATCTGATCATCATGAGTAGCAGCAGTAGCAGGGGGGCTGGTCTTCATTGTTGACTTTTGCCCAAAATTAGAAGCAGACCTTGGTTTCTTAGGGTATCCCTGTTGCACCCAATTGACATATTTGCCTTGAACCAAGCCAGGGATCAAGGGATGAAAATGGGGTGATGTATTTGGAGAAGAAGAAGAAGAAGAAGCAACTTGTGGTGCTGAGGAGGGTCTGCTCTGTATCTGGTGCTCCTCATTCTTCAATTGTTTCTTCTCTTGCTCAGTTTTTTCAACAAGAACGGTGGCAACCAATGTCAGTTGATCATAAGGACACAAAGAATCAAAATTCATGCCTTTAAAATCTTCCATTGTCAAATACCCCATCTTCCCTTTGTCTTCTGCTTTGTCTCCTTCTCTTTTGCTCCTACTTGAGAGATTGAAAGAACCCAATGAAGAAGAAGCCATGATCAACAAAACAAATTGGCAGAGAACCGAAAAGGGAAATCTTTGTTCTAGTTGATGAGAAATTGAATGAACTGAACTGTGAATTGAAAGTGATCAACAAAAACAAAGTAACGAAAAGTGAGATGGGTTTGCTATCCTTATATAATCTCTCATACAGTCCTTGTCCGATTAGGGTATTTAATTCTTGTCCTATCAGGAAAATAAATCAAGAAAACATAAAACTTGGGAGCCAAGCTAATTTCAGTCCCAACTCCAACGGTAACTAAATCAGATGAATATCTCGATGGAGAGAGTATGAAAGTAAAGTATAGTGAACACGGCAAAATAGAAACTCTGTTATTCAGATCAATGTGTAATTGACGCATTAAAAACATTAGTGGCTAAAATATCGGGATGCTATTATTAATTCCATATTGTTTCGAATATTTTAATATTTCACAACAACAAACTAAATAAATAAATAACCTACAAGTTTGATTGATGGAGAATTTTTTTTTTTGGTGGGTTCTTTATTTTTTTAATGGTGAAATAAGAATTACAAAAATTTGAATAAAAAAAAATTTAAGGAGATTATTGGTCAAATTTGGAGAACAATAAACCAATCTAGGAAATATTTCTAAGATAGAAATTAATGAGCATGCATCCATTTCAGTTAACAAACAAACTTTCACATCACTGATTTACATAAATTTTAACAACATACTTTGTTACATTGAAAATCCAAGATGCTGCCCCAACAAATGACATGTATTAGCACAAATTGATCATCTTCTATCATGCACATGATACTTCAGACCGAACAAAGAAGAGGCCAGAAGGGCCATCACTGGGCAGCAATGCTAACTTCAGAACACTTGCAGCACCTTCTGCAACGGACAAGATGCCGGTATTGAAGTTTATATCTGTCTTGACATAGCCGGGGCAGACAGAATTGATGCGGAAGTTGGGGTATTTCTTGGCTAGAATCCTTGTATATGCATTTATTGCCGCTTTTGAGACTCTATATGCAGGAAAAACAGACCAGCCCTTGCTTTCAATGGAACCCTCCTTGAAGTCTTTTAGTAGCTGTGTCAATACCTCATCTACTCTCTCTTCTGTTAGGTATTCAGAATCACTAAAAACGCCTTTAACCCAATCACTTGGTATGTTCGCTAACTTCCCTGAGGAGGAAGAAACGTTAACAATTCTTGGTGAATCGGATAACTGGAGGAGTGGAATAAGTGCTTCAGCTGTTCTTGTAGTACCATAGTAATTTATTTGCAAGCATTCTTCTGTTAACGGGTACGTTTCAGTCAGAAATTTAGTCCAAGTCCAATCAATGTTTGCTCCTTCCTGCATCAGTACGCAGAAAATTATTCTTTGGCCCTGTTCTTATAAACCCACCTCAAACAAGAAAGTAGGGTGATTAAAAGTTGCACATGCGCATCACAGTGAAAATACTATTCAGATCGAAGGAACTCTAACTTAATTCATATCTGTTCTAGGAAGCATCAGAATCTCAGATATATGAGCATTAGAGTATTGAAGTATCTTAAGGAATTCTGGAATGGCACAACACAGATCATTTTCCCCTTGGAAAAAAGGCATGGCATTAACCCCAACGTTGCAAACAGACGCTTGGCCAAACCACACATCAAGTTTAACTTTTCATATTAGCACATTGAAGATTAACTTTTTGATATAGCTAGTGATAAGGTATTGTGTTAATAATATCAAGATGAAGTCTAAACAGAATCAAACAGCAACATATATAGCCGACATTAGAAGCTTTCCTCCTCACACATCACCTTTAGTGTGTGGTGGAACAACAAAAAACGAAATGCAAGACTTACCCCACCACCAGAATTTTCCGAAGCTTTAAAAGCATCAGCATCTAGTATGACTCCACCAATCCCTGCATTGTTCACCTGTAGATAATCTAACTGTATAAAAAGCAAACAAAACAAATCTAGAAAAGAAAAAGAAAAAAGAAAGTTGAGAGATCCTTTGATTACTATGTGCAAGGCCTTTAAACGGCTTAGCTTTGGAGACCAAATATGCTAGTGTGCCAAACCCACTAATGCCAGCCACTAATCTTTCTGGGGTAACTTATAAATTGTACAGAGGGATCAAATCAATATGGGAGAAGAACTCATAGACCGAGTGACGAACATAATTCGACTCTCACAATTGAAAGTGGTGACAATAAGATGATGGGTTTGTGCCAACCACTCAATTTTACAGTCTCAACATCAACTCATCTATGCTTATATTCAAAGGGAAATTGGATTTGACGAATTAAATTGAAAAGACAGAAACTTTTCAGGAAACGAGCTTTGATCTTACCAAGATATCGAGTTTCCCAAACTGGGTTTTGATGAAATCTGCCAAAGAAGCAACGCTTGCAGGGTCAGCCACATCAAGTTGATGAAAAACCACTTCACCAGAGAGGCCAGACTCTTTGAGTTTATCAAAAGCTTCAAGACCCCTCTTTTCATCTCTAGCAGTTAAGACTACAGTGATTCCGTTTGAGGCCAATTGCCTGACAGTTTCTAACCCAATCCCTTTGTTTGCTCCTGTAACAACTGCATATCTGAAAGAACAGAAGAAGAAAGCAACAAAAAATTCAGGGAAGAAAGTGAAACAAAAGAGAGAAATTTTCGTATGGATATACCTCTTTGTTGCTTCGGCCATTGATGAATTGATGTAGGATCTCTGTGAGTACTGGGAACAATTTCAGAGCCTTCGCAATTTCGAAGCTTTCGACTTGTATATTCAGCCTCTTTGCTATATTGTAAATGAGATTTGGGTGTGTTTCTAAAGTCCATTTCATATATGGGTTTTTTTATTTTATAATTTGGACTCTTATATTGGGTATAATAGTGAATCTCCCTAAAAAATAAGGTTAGGAAAAGACAGAAAGGAAGTGTGTAAGATCAGTCATTATGAGATCCATGTTTCAACATGATATTATTATTTACATCACTAGTCAATCAGAAATTTTCTGTGCAACTTGAAAAACGGATTTTATAATTTTGTCATGGAGATGTTATATAAGAAAAAAGACGTAATTGGTTTTTACTTGTCGATTTCACCAGTCTTGCATGCGAAACTGCTTACGACTTGGCATTTATACAATTAGTTGATGGTTGAGTTGAGTTAAGCACTTGCGTCACCACTCCCATTCTTTTCCTTCTAGAAAACGTTATAGAAGCATCCTTAATCCAGTAATTATATAGGAACAAACGAATCAAAAAATTTCTTCTTCTCATTATTATTTATTTGAATATAGACCACAAAATTCAAAGGCTTTCCAAGAATTACACTATAAAAGAAAGGAAGGCTCCTTCTGTTTAATACACATCTCAATTCTCACAGACCGTGCCATTTCTAATATATCAATGGCAGAAGCAACAAAGAGGTAGCACTTTAAAGTCCTTTATGCTTTGAACTACTTTTTGTGTTATGAATTTGGTGTTTGTGTTTTCTCAGGTATGCAGTTGTTACTGGAGCAAACAAAGGCATAGGATTGGAAACTGTGAGGCAATTGGCCTCAAATGGATTCACTGTAGTCTTAACTGCCAGAGATGAGAAAAGGGGTCTTGAAGCTGTTGAGAAACTCAAAGAATCTGGCCTCTCAGGTCAAGTGGTTTTTCATCAACTTGATGTGGCTAACCCTACTACTGTTGCTTCCTTGGCAGAGTACATCAAAACCCAGTTTGGAAAACTCGATATCTTGGTATGTGTATGATCATAGCTGCAGGTTTCTTGAAAAAGTTTCTGTCTTTTGAAATAATTATAAGTCTTAGGCTTACAAAATATCCACACAGGTGGAGGTTATATTAGAGACTGTAAAATTGAGTGGCTGATCCAAATCCAACTCTATGTCTTTCCATTGTTTTTCGTTTTTTTTTTGGGTGGAATTCTTTCCATATATATGCTATATGATCCCTCTCTGTACAATTTAAAAGCACCCTAGAAAGATCAGTGGCTGGAGTTAAGGGGTTCGGGAAAAGCATAATTATTGGCCTTTATGGTTGGTTTGGTTGTAACAACAAAAGAGATTTATCCAAGTAATCAGAGGATCTACCTACTTCCAATTAATTTCATTTTCTAGAAAAAATTTCAGTTCTTTTCTTTGCTAAAAGAAAGCAAATAGTGAAACAGTTGGACTCTGCACAGGTGAACAATGCAGGGATTACTGGAAGCCAAGTAGACGGTGATGCTCTTAAAGCTGTAGCAGACACTGGTGCCGTGGTAAGTCTTTTGCATAATTTTTATCAATAGCTATCAAAAACAAAAAGCGTCAATGTATGTGCTTAATATGAATATAAGTTCTCTTGCTGTCTTCCTCTGTCATATTTTCATTGTGATGTGCATGTCAAACTTTGATCACCATTTTTCTTGTTTGGGGTGGGTGTAAGCAGTTGGCTATAGCCACCATAATAAGTTTGTTCTTACTGATGCAGGAAAGAGGAGAAGTTGATTGGAGTAAATTAACGACAGAAACTTATGAGTTGGCAGAAGAATGCTTGCAAATAAACTACTATGGTGCTAAAAGAACAGCTGAAACACTTATCCCACTCCTCCAGTTATCTGACTCACCGAGAATTGTTAATGTTTCCGCTTCCTTGGGGAAGTTAAAGAACATACCAAGTGATTGGGCTAAAGGAGTTTTTACTGATGCTGATAACCTAACAGAAGAGGGAGTAGGTGAGGTATTGACTGAGCTTCTAAAAGCCTTCAAGGAGGGTTCACTTGAAAGTAAAGGCTGGCCTTCTTCTTTGTCTGCCTATATAGTCTCAAAAGCTGCACTGAATGCATATACAAGGATTCTAGCAGAGAAGTACCCCGATATTCGTATCAATTCGGTATGCCCTGGCTTTGTCAAAACCGATCTAAACTCCAATGCCGGCGTCTTGCCTGTCGAAGAAGGTGGTGCCAGGGTTGTGAGGACAGCATTGCTGCCCAATGATGGCCCTTCTGGCTCCTTCTTTGTTCAGTATGAAGTGTCAGATCTTTGATTGAAGATCATCCATTTGTGCAAATTTAATACATGTCAATTGTTGGGCAGCATCTTGAACTTGGATGTAATTTAAGTATATTTGGAACCAGCAGCAGATCCTTTTTAAGTTCTTTCTACATTCAATAAGAGGATGGCATATATGATGCTTATTGTTGTAGCCATATTCAGTTGTGCAACATTCTCTATCTAATAGTCCTCCACGATTGCATCTCTGTTTAATGATCTCCCACATCTGGAATTGATTGAAGGATCTAGTGCATTGTTTGTTTACATTTCTACTATTCATCTGGCTCTTGAACTCATTATCATTTACGTTGTTATTCAGTCAGAAATTCTATGTGATTGATGTCCATCCTTTGATCAATATTATCGATAGTATATCGATAACATTTCGGTATATTTTGTTAGACATATGTCAGAGACAATAATATTGACACCTTATTGACAATCCGTCATTTAATTAAGAACTAAGTGTAGAGAAGAATTTATTATTCAATATTATGCAACTTAAATTGTAGTAGCACAATAGCAAACTTCTGCAGTCAATTGTTTAAAAAACTAAAAAGACAACATAGGTGTCGTTAAAAATTATGTAATTTTGGAGCAGTTAAATTCACCAATCTTGCCGGCGAAACTGCTTCAGACTTGGCATGTGGTTGATGGTTGAGTTAAGCTCTCTCTGCTCTGCCACCACCAAAATGCTTAAACAGTGGGAGCACTTGCGTCACCACCCCCATTCTTTTCCTTAATTCTTAAAAGAAAAATCCAAACAAATGTTGTTTTCCCATCAGATTACTTCTAGGAAACATTCGAAGCAAGCATCCTCCCTCCAGTATAGGAACAAACGAGTCTTAACAATTTTCTTGCTCTTATTATTATTTATTTGAATATAAAACTTGAAATGCAAAGGTTTTCCAATAACATTATATTACAACCCAAAAGAAGGCTCCTTCTGTTATTCTCATTTCTCACAGAAAGACGATCCCATAAACGAATCAGCAATGGCAGAAGCAATAAAGAGGTGGCACCTTAGAGTCCATACCTTTTGATTATTACTTCTATAACAATTTCTCACTCTTGTTTTTGTTTCCCTTTTGCTTTCCTATTTTTGTTATGAAATTGGTGTTTTTTCTTTTGTTTTTCCAGGTATGCAGTTGTTACTGGGGCAAACAAAGGCATAGGATTGGAAACTGTCAGGCAGTTGGCCTCAAAAGGTTTCACTGTAGTCTTAACTGCCAGAGATGAGAAGAGGGGTCTTGAAGCTGTTGAGAAACTCAAAGAGTCTGGCCTCTCAGGTCAAGTGGTTTTTCATCAACTTGATGTGGCTAACCCTGCCAGTCTTGCTCCTTTGGCAGACTTCATCAAAACCCAGTTTGGGAAACTCGATATCTTGGTATGTATGATCATAGCTACAGGGTTAATGTAAAATTGAGTGATCTATCATGCTTATTGTGTCCACTTCCAGTTGTGGAAGATTTTACTTTGAAGTCTAAATCTAACTCTAACTATATGAGAGATCAGTGGCTGGAATTAAGGGGTTTGACGAAGTAGCATACTTATTGGCCTTCTTTGAAGGGCATTGGTTGGTTATAGCAGATAGTTTATCCAAGTTAATCAAAGCATCTAGCAACTTTCTTTTAATTCCATCTTCTAGATGTTTTTTCTTTTCTTTTGTTTGCAAAAGTAAAACAAATAGTGAAACAGTTGGACTCTGCACAGGTGAACAATGCAGGGATTGGTGGAAGCACAGCAGATCCTGATGCCTTTAGAGCTGTAGTAGAGTCTGGTGCCTTTGTAAGTCTTTCAGATAATTCTTATCAATAGCTACCAAAAACTTAAAGCTTTAATGTATGTGCTTAATGTGAAAATTTAAATTGATCTGTGGTTTGGCTTAATGCTATGGCAATTAGTAGGGGAAATGATCTTCTGTGTAACATCTCCAGTCTGGTATGATTCGGGTGGGTGTGTAAGTAGTTGGCAATAGCCACCATAATAAGTTTTTTCTTACTGATGCAGGGAAGAGGAGAAGTTGATTGGAGTAAACTAAATACTGAAACTTATGAGTTGGCAGAAGAATGCTTGCAAATAAACTATTATGGTGCTAAAAGAACAGCTGAAGCACTTATCCCACTCCTCCAGTCATCCGATTCACCGAGAATTGTTAATGTTTCGTCTTTCATGGGGAAGTTAAACAACATACCGAGCGGTTGGGCTAAAGGAGTTTTTACTGATGCAGAAAACCTAACAGAAGAGAGACTAGATGAGGTACTGACTGAGCTTTTAAAAGACTTCAAGGAGGGTTCACTTGAAAGTAAGGGCTTTCCTTCTTCTTTGTCAGCCTATATAGTCTCAAAAGCTGCACTGAACGCATATACAAGGATTCTAGCAAAGAAGTACCCCACTTTTCGTATCAATTCGGTCTGCCCTGGCTTTGTCAAAACAGATATAAACTACAATATCGGTGTCCTACCTGTCGAAGAAGGCTCTGCAAAGGTTGTGAAGTTAGCATTGGTGCCCAATGATGGCCCTTCTGGCTCCTTCTTTGTTCAGTATGAAGTGTCAGATTTTTAATTGAAGATAGATGATCCATTTATGCAAATTAAATACATGTCATTTATTTGGGCAGGATCTTGTATATTTGGACCCAGCACCAGATCCTTTTTAAGTTCTTTCTACATTCAATATGACTCGAGGACGATATACAATAGTCCTGTATGATCGCATCTCTGTGAAATTATCTTCCACATCTGGAATTGATTGAAGGATCTAATACATTGCTTGTTTACATTTCTACTTATCAACTGGCTCTTGAACCCATATTATCATTTACATTATTATTCAACCAAAAATTCTATGTGATTGATATCCTTCCTTTGATCGATACTATCAATAACATTTCGCTGTATTTTGTTATGGATATGTTGACAACAATTATACTAACACTTTATCGACAATCTGTCATTAATTAAGAAATGACGTAGGTGTATAGAATTGATTATCCAACAATCCGTCAATCCGTCAATATTATTGTATCAATTGTTTAATAAAGAAAAAGACAATTGGCATGTTCAACGCAAAACTACTTAAGACTTTTCATGTTATGCCTTTTTTGCCTATATACTCCAACGGTGGTTGAGCCCCTTGGCCCCCATTGGGGAAGCCCTTGTGAACATGTTGAAAGGTCTCTCTGGTCTGTCAACGTGTGCACTTGCGTCACTACCTTCATCCTTTTCCTTAATATTCCAAACAAAAATCCAAGCAAATCCATCTTTCCCATTCAATGACTTCTAGAAAACATTGCAAACATTCTTTCTCCAGTATAGGAACAAACCGCTTTTCAGGAACATTTCACTATAAAACAAAAGAAGCCTCCTTCTGTTTAGTCTCATTTCTCACAGACCGTCCCATATCGAATCATCAATGGCAGAAGCAACAAAGAGGTAGCACTTTGGAGTCCTTGTCACATCTCCATTGCCTCTCATTGTTTCTGCTTATCATTTTCGTGTTATGCATTTGGTGTTTTTGTTTTTCCAGGTATGCAGTTGTTACTGGGGCAAACAAAGGCATAGGATTGGAAACTGTGAGGCAATTGGCCTCAAATGGATTCACTGTAGTCTTAACTGCCAGAGATGAGAAAAGGGGTCTTGAAGCTGCTGAGAAACTCGAAGAGTCTGGCCTCTCAGGTCAAGTGGTTTTTCATCAACTTGATGTGGCTAACCCTGCTACTGTTGCTTCCTTGGCAGAGTTCATCAAAACCCAGTTTGGGAAACTCGATATCTTGGTATGTATATGATCATAGCTGCAGGTTTCTTGAAAAAGTTTTGGTCTTTTGAAATAATTAGAATTTTCAGGCTTACACAATATCCACACAGGTGAAGGTTACATTAGAGACTGTAAAATTGATCATATCATGCTTGCTTATTGTGTCCGCTTCCAGTTGTGGAAGATTTTACTTTCAAGTCTAACTATATGATATGAACCCTCTGTACAATTTACAAGTACCCTAGAAAGATCAGTGGCTGGAGTTAAGGGATTTGGCAACGCCTTGATGGTTGGTTATAGAACCAAATAGATTATCTTAGTAACCCGAGGATCTACCAACTTTCTTTTAATTGCATTTTCTACATTTTTCTTTTCTTCGCTAAATTAAAATAGATAGTGAGACAGTTGGCTCTGCACAGGTGAACAATGCAGGGATTGGTGGAGCCATAGGAGATGCTGATGCCTATATAGCTTTAGTAAAGTCTTTGGAAATGGTAAGCCTTTCGAATTAATTTTTTCAATTGCTATCAAAACCTAAAAGTTTCAATGTATGGCTATAATGTGGATTTGGGAGTGTGCTATTTTGCCTCTGCGCGCCTATCTGGATTAGCTCCTTCTTGATTGATGATATGTTAGGGGTTGTTAAGACCAGTTTAGTTTGTGCTGACAGTTTGTAGTCTGTTTGTTTTGGGGTTTTGATCCCCCCTAGTTCATAAAATAAAAAAAATAAAAAAAAGGTTTCAATGTATGTGCTACTGTGAAATTTTCAATTGATCCCTGGTTTGGACAAAGATCTGTTTCGCTTAATCCGTTTTAAGTAGGAGAGATGATCTGATTAATTGATTTAGGAGTTTTCCAATAAGCTGCTACCTTCTGGATTTACTTATCTCACCTGATAAATCTTTCTGCACTCTATCCATAATTTTTTTAAAGCCCTTTGCTATAATTAAAATAAATTATGCACATAAGTTGTCATGCTTTCTTCCTCTCTAGCTGGAAAAATTTTCATTCTGATGTTCATGTCAAACTTTGGTCAATATTTTTCTTGTTTGTGGTGGGTGTGGGCTATAGAGACCATAATAATAAGTCTGTTCTTACTGATACAGGGGAGAAGAGAAGTTGATTTGAGTAAACTAATGACTGAAACTTATGAGTTAACAGAAGAATGCTTGCAAATAAACTATTATGGTGCTAAAAGAACAGCTGAAGCACTTATCCCACTCCTCCAGTTATCTGACTCACCGAGAATTGTTAATGTTTCGTCTGGTGCGGGGAAGTTAAACAACATACCAAGTGATTGGACTAAAGGAGTTTTTACTGATGCCGAAAACCTAACAGAAGAGAGAGTAGATGAGTTACTGACTGAGTTTCTAAAAGATTTCAAGGAGGGTTCACTTGAAAGTAAGGGCTGGCCTTCTTCTATGCCTGCCTATATAGTCTCAAAAGCAGCGTTGAACGCATATACAAGGATTCTAGCAAAGAAGTACCTCAATTTTCGTATCAATTCGGTCTGCCCTGGCTTTGTCAAAACAGATATAAACTGCAATGCCGGTGTCCTTCCTGTCGAAGAAGGTGGTGCCAGGATTGTGAAGTTAGCATTGCTGCCCAATGATGGCCCTTCTGGCTCCTTCTTTGTTCAGTATGAAGTGTCAGATTTTTAATTGAAGATGATCCATTTATGCAAATTAAATAAATGCCATTTATTTGGCAGGATCTTGAACTTTTAATATAACAAAGTATATTTGGACCCTGCAACAAATCCTTTTTAAGTTCTTTCTACATTCAATATGACTTGAGGATGGGATAAAATCGAAAGTCCTGTATGATTGCATCTCTATGAAATGATCCTCCACATCTGGAATTGATTGAAGGATCTAATACATTGCTTGTTTACATTTCTACTTATCAACTGGCTCTTGAACTCATATTATCATTTACATTATTATTCATCAGAAATTCTATGTGGTTGATGTCCATCCTTTGTTCGAAATTATCGATATCATTTCGGTATATACTTCTTATGGACATGTTGACAACAATTATATTAACACCTTATCAACAATCCGTTATTAATTCAGAAATGACGTAGGTGTACAGAAGAATTGAACATTCAATTGTTTAATAAAGAAAAAGACAACATGGGTCTCTTTGACAATCATGTTATTGGATTGGAGCAGCCAAATTCACCAATGTTAAATGCAAAACTATACTTGAGACTTGGCATGTTATGAACAACGTGCGTCACTAGCCCCTTCTTTCTCATTCAATGACTTCTAGAAAACATAGGAACAAACGAATCGATTTGAATATAATAATACTCAAAATACAAAGGCTTTCCAACATCTTTACGTTATAAAAGAAAAGAAGGCTCCTTCTGTTTAGTCTCATTTTTTACCCTTGCTTTTTCCTAGAAAGATACATTTAGGCTTTTACCATCTTCTTATTCATTCATATTGTGTATGCAATGAGGTCATATCTCAAAAATAAAAATGTTGTGCATGCAATGATGTCATATCTCACTATATCTCACCAAACCCAGTTATTAACTTATTATTACTTTCATGACCAAAAAAAATAAAGTTACTTTTACGTTTTTCTTTTTTGGCTATACCACTTTTTTGTCAACAAGGGAAAAATTGTACTTTCCTAAATCCAAACTAACAAAGGCCATAATGGGCTTACTCATTGACAAAAATTAACAAAAATATAAAATCACCTGAGCATGATCCAAAAGCATATAGGCTCTTTAGAAGATCTTAATTAGTTCTTTTTTCACATGCCCATAAATAGGGCCCAAAATAGAGAAGAATTCTACAATACATCTTAGGAAAAACTCCATTTGCCTTTCAGAATTAAAATATGGAGTTAAATTCCTATTATTGATACTCCTATGTTGACTTCACATGGAGGAATGAAAATGCGAGTGGCACCCACAAAAAGTAGGAATTCAACTCTTGATTTTGAAGGAATTGGACTCTTGGATGAGAGGTGGTATTGTAATTCCTGAAGAACTAACCCATTGGAAATTCAACTTTTTTATCCATTATATCATCGCACAATTTTTAAAATTCCAAATTTGCCATCTACTTTAGCCCAACAACGAGGGCATTTTAGTAATCAATTTGGTTTCAATTCCAATTCAAGTGAATTTAACTTGTAATAAGGAATTAGTCGTGAATTTAACCCTAAATTAGTACCACTTCCATATGATTTAGTAACAACTTAAATAGGAATTCGGAATCTAACCTCCTCAATCCAACTCCTCCTCTATTCAATTCCCCCTAATCCAATTATGGATTAGTAAGCATGCCATAAATGTACCATACCACCCTTGAAAAACCTAAAAATTACAATGCTATTAGTGTTTTTTTCCCTTTCCTAAAAATCATAATCCAAGGACAATAATGGTATTACCCATATAACTCAAATTAAAATATTACAATTCAGTTGGTCCTTTTTCTTCAATTTATAAGGTTTAGGGGTGTATATATAAATTCAATACAAGAAATGAATTTTATTATAAATTTCTCTAAATTTTTTAGAATGCCCACTGATCAAGGAGTGGCATCAATGTTTAGTTTCACTTCTCTGGGCTTGGTTCCCCCATTGCACCCAAAAAAAAAGAAAAAGAGTGGCACTGTGGCTCCTAATTCTTTTTCTAATAAGAAATTATAAAAATTTCTTTCTGAGTTACCCGGAACAAGGAATTAAGAAGTGAGGCATCAATGTGACAAAGTATTCTAGGGGTATATGTAAGTCAGTATAGTCCTGCTGCAGACCAAGAGGCTTGACTGTAATTGCAAAATCAAGTGCAATGGGATATGAACACGTGGTGCATTAGGGAGACTACAAGAGTACAATGGGGCCTACCTAAAAGTTCTCTTTTCTATTTATTTATTTATTTTTATTCTTTATATCAACAAGCTCATCATTGAGAATGGGCCCTACTTTAATCATCTGTTGCTCAGTTGGGGCCCACTTAAAAGTGTCTACTTTCTTCTATATACTGTTCAAAATTATTGAAAGTTGTTTGAAAATACAAGTCGAAAGCTTCGAAATTGCAAAGGCTATCAAATTGTTCCCAGTACTCACAGACATCCTACATCAAATCATCAATGGCCGAAGCAAAAAAGAGGTATATCCATACGAAAATTTCTCCCTTTTGTTTAACTTTCTTCCCTGAATTTGTTGTTGCTTTCTTCTTCTGTTCTTTCAGATATGCAGTTGTTACAGGAGCAAACAAAGGGATTGGGTTAGAAACTGTCAGGCAATTGGCCTCAAACGGAATCACTGTAGTCTTAACTGCTAGAGATGAAAAGAGGGGTCTTGAAGCTTTTGATAAACTCAAAGAGTCTGGCCTCTCTGGTGAAGTGGTTTTTCATCAACTTGATGTGGCTGACCCTGCAAGCGTTGCTTCTTTGGCAGATTTCATCAAAACCCAGTTTGGGAAACTCGATATCTTGGTAAGATCAAAGCTCGTTTCCTGAAAAGTTTCTGTCTTTTCAATTTAATTCGTCAAATCCAATTTCCCTTTGAATATAAGCATAGATGAGTTGATGTTGAGACTGTAAAATTGAGTGGTTGGCACAAACCCATCATCTTATTGTCACCACTTTCAATTGTGAGAGTCGAATTATGTTCGTCACTCGGTCTATGAGTTCTTCTCCCATATTGATTTGATCCCTCTGTACAATTTATAAGTTACCCCAGAAAGATTAGTGGCTGGCATTAGTGGGTTTGGCACACTAGCATATTTGGTCTCCAAAGCTAAGCCGTTTAAAGGCCTTGCACATAGTAATCAAAGGATCTCTCAACTTTCTTTTTTCTTTTTCTTTTCTAGATTTGTCTTGTTTGCTTTTTATACAGTTAGATTATCTACAGGTGAACAATGCAGGGATTGGTGGAGTCATACTAGATGCTGATGCTTTTAAAGCTTCGGAAAATTCTGGTGGTGGGGTAAGTCTTGCATTTCGTTTTTTGTTGTTCCACCACACACTAAAGGTGATGTGTGAGGAGGAAAGCTTCTAATGTCGGCTATATATGTTGCTGTTTGATTCTGGTTAGACTTCATCTTGATATTATTAACACAATACCTTATCACTAGCTATATCAAAAAGTTAATCTTCAATGTGCTAATATGAAAAGTTAACTTGATGTGTGGTTTGGCCAAGCGTCTGTTTGCAACGTTGGGGTTAATGCCATGCCTTTTTAACAAGGGGAAAATGATCTGTGTTGTGCCATTCCAGAATTCCTTAAGATACTTCAATACTCTAATGCTCATATATCTGAGATTCTGATGCTTCCTAGAACAGATATGAATTAAGTTAGAGTTAACCAATATGTTGCTTATCTTATATGGATTCACTTTTCTTGCCTGGTAAAAGTTTCCACATTCAGAAACTTTGATAGCTTTTTTTTCTGAAAGAAAATCTAGATAAAAGTTCCCCATTTACTCCTTCGATCTGAACGCATGTGCAACTTTTAATCACCCTACTTTCTTGTTTGAGGTGGGTTTATAAGAACAGGGCCAAAGAATAATTTTCTGCGTACTGATGCAGGAAGGAGCAAACATTGATTGGACTTGGACTAAATTTCTGACTGAAACGTACCCGTTAACAGAAGAATGCTTGCAAATAAATTACTATGGTACTACAAGAACAGCTGAAGCACTTATTCCACTCCTCCAGTTATCCGATTCACCAAGAATTGTTAACGTTTCTTCCTCCTCAGGGAAGTTAGCGAACATACCAAGTGATTGGGTTAAAGGCGTTTTTAGTGATTCTGAATACCTAACAGAAGAGAGAGTAGATGAGGTATTGACACAGCTACTAAAAGACTTCAAGGAGGGTTCCATTGAAAGCAAGGGCTGGCCTGTTTTTCCTGCATATAGAGTCTCAAAAGCGGCAATAAATGCATATACAAGGATTCTAGCCAAGAAATACCCCAACTTCCGCATCAATTCTGTCTGCCCCGGCTATGTCAAGACAGATATAAACTTCAATACCGGCATCTTGTCCGTTGCAGTAGGTGCTGCAAGTGTTCTGAAGTTAGCATTGCTGCCCAGTGATGGCCCTTCTGGCCTCTTTGTTCGTTCTGAAGTATCATGTGCATGATAGAAGATGATCAATTTGTGCTAATACATGTCATTTGTTGGGGCAGCATCTTGGATTTTCAATGTAACAAAGTATGTTGTTAAAATTTATGTAAATCAGTGATGTGAAAGTTTGTTTGTTAACTAAAATGGATGCATGCTCATTAATTTCTATCTTAGAAATCTTCCCTAGATTGGTTTATTGTTCTCCAAATTTGACCAATAATCTCCTTAAATTTTTTTTTAATTAAATTTTTTGTAATTCTTATTTCACCATTAAAAAAATAAAGAACCCACCAAAAAAAAAAAATTCCAATCTGAAGCGTTGAAATCATCCCACAGTCAAAAACAGAAATCCGTAACCAGTCCGCATCTTCTGAGTTCGCAATGGAGAAGTTCCCATAAAAGAAAAGAAGGCTCCTTCTGTTTAGTCTCATTTCTTACCCTTGCTTTTTCCTAGAAAGATACATTTAGGCTTTTACCATCTTCTTATTCATTCATATTGTGTATGCAATGAGGTCATATCTCAAAAATAAATATGTTGTGCGCCGCAATGATGTCATATCTCACTATATCTCACCAAACCCAGTTATTAACTTATTATTACTTTCATGACCGAAAAAAAAAGAAGAAGTTACTTTTACGTTTTTCTTTTTTTGCGATACCACTTTTTTGTCAATAAGGGCAAAATTGTACTTTCCTAAATCCAACCTAACAAAGGCCATAATGGGCTTACTCATTGACTAAAAAATTACAAAAATATAAAATCACTTGAGCAGGATCCAAAAGAATATAGGCTTTTTAGAAGATCTTAATTAGTGCGTTTTTCACATGTAAGCCCATAAAGAGGGCCCGAAATAGAGAAGAATTTTACAATACATCTTAGGAAAAACTCCTTTGCCTTTCGGAATCAAAATAAGGAGTTAAATTCCTATTACGGATGCTCCTATATTTACTTTACATGAAGGAATGAAAATGCGAGTGGTACCCACAAAAAAGTAGGAATTCAACTCTTGAGTGAATTCAACTCTTGAGTGAATTTAACTCTTGAATGAAAAGAAGGAATTGGACTCTTGGGTGAGATATGGTATTGTAATTCTTGAAGAACTAACCCATTGGGAATTCAACTTTTTTATCCATTATATCATCGCACAATTTTTAAAATTCCAAATTTGCCATCTACTTTAGCCCAACAACGAGGGCATTTTAGTAATCAATTTAGTTTCAATTCCAATTCAAGTGAATTTAACTTGTAATAAGGAATTAGTAGTGAATTTAACTTTAAATTAGTACCACTTCCATTCGGAATCTAACTCTCCTCAATCCAACTCCTCCTCTATTCAATTCCCCTTATTCCAATTATGGATTAATAAACATGCCATAAATGTACCATACCACCCTTGAAAAACCTAAAAATTAAAACAATGCTATTAGTGTTTTTTTTCCTTTCCTAAAATTCATAATCCAAGGACAATAATGGTATTACACATATAATTCAAATTAAAAATATTACAGTTCAGTTGGTCCTTTTTCTTCAATTTATTAGGTTTATTATAAATTTCTCTAAATTTTTTAGAATGCCCACTAATCAAGGAGTGGCATCAGTGTTTAGTTTCACTTCTCTAGGCTTGGTTCCCCCACTGCACCCAAAGGAAAAAAAAAACAAAAAAAAAGAGAGTGGCACTGTGGCACCCAATTCTTTTTCTAATAAGAAATCATAAAATTTTCTTTCTGGGTTACCTGGAACAAAGAATTAAGAAGTGAGGCATCAATGTGACAAGGTATTCTAGGGGTATATGTAATTAATCAGTGATGTAACATTTATGCAAATCTAATGGTAAACATTTACGCAAATCTAGCACCAATCTAAGTCAGTCCTGCTGCATCCCAAGAGGCTTGACTGTAATTGCAAAATCAAGTGCAATGGGGTATGAACACGTGGTGCATTATGGAGACTACAAGAGTACAATGGGGCCTACTTAAAAGTTCTCTTTTCCATTTATTTATTTATTTTAATTCTTTATATCAACAAGCTCATCATTGAGAACGGGGCCTACTTTAAGCATCTGTTACTCAGTTGCGGCCCACTTAAAAGTGTCAACTCTCTTCTAAATACTGTTCAAAATAAAAGTGGAAGGCTTCGAAATTGCAAGGGCTCTCAAATTGTTCCTAGTACTCACAGAGATCCCACATCAAATCATCAATGGCCGAAGCAACAAAAAGGTATATCCATACGAAAATTTCTCTCTTTTGTTTAACTTTCTTCCCTGAATTTGTTCTTGCTTTCTTCTTCTGTTCTTTCAGATATGCAGTTGTTACAGGAGCAAACAAAGGAATTGGGTTAGAAACTGTCAGGCAATTGGCCTCAAATGGAATCACTGTAGTCTCCTCCATATCCCTCCAAGACTGAGTTTTCTTTAAGTCTATCTGAAGCTTCACTCTATATGCCCAAGTGAGAATTTAATAAGTTTGTTTTTGCTGATACCGGAAAGAGGAGAAGTTGATTTGAGTAAACTAGTGACTGAAACTTATGAGTGTCTGCCGCGCAAATCTCACGGCCTGGAGTTCCGGGCCGAGGGGATATGCGTTGACACGCGGTTTCCTGCTTTTGGGTGCGGTGCGGTTGTGCGCGGGCGTGCCAGCACGGTCTACCGTGCGTCTAGGTGTTGATGAGTGTTGGATGGATAAGTGGTGCGCCCGTTTATTCGGCCTGTTGAAGAGGCCGTGAGGGCGGCCCTGACGAATGCAGATTGGGACCATCTTCCCCCCAAAGGCAGCAAAGTGAAGAAGGTATCAGCTGGGCCGCCTCGACCAAGTGCCCCGGCCGTGGCCGTCCCCAGGGTGACGGCCCCTCCCCTGGCAGGATCAGCGGCCGTGGCTTCCACCGCGGCCCCATCTTCGACTGCGGCCCTAGCTCCCAGGGCGACGCCTGTGATGGGGGCACGAAAAATGCTGGCACAAAGAACCGTGCCAGTCTCCCCAACGCCTCGACCATCCACTGCTGCTGGTAGGCTTTGCTCATTTTTATTATTATTACTATGTATTTCTTTATTCTTTGTCGGCCTCTCAAAGCTACTTGGTCCTTGGTTATCTCATCTCTCCTTTTCTTTGCATACAGTCCCGGGTCGTAAGAGGAGCCGTGAAGCGCCAAGCACTGAGGCCGCAACGGTTAAGGCTGCGCCGGCCAGAGCCACCGTGGTAGAGACGGCGGCGGTAGAGCGACCGAAGAAGATGATCCTCTTCACTTTTCCGGAGGACGGAAGTGGGGAGGAAGTCCCTCCTGTGATCGTAAGGGAAGCTCCCCCTGTGGCCGTAAGTATTTCCCCTTGGCCTCCGTTTTTTTTCTTTCTTCACTTTGCAGGTTACCCCCTTCCCCTTTTCTATGCATTTTGGTAATCTGGTTCCTCCCTCAGGATGTGGTGATAGTGGAGGAGGAGGCTGCGGCTGAGATGCCGCATGTAGAGGAAGCGGCCGCCGTGCAGATGGTGGTCGAGGAGGAGGTCATGGCCGAGGAGCCAGTCGAGGAGGTGGTCGAGATGTTGGTCGTCGAGATTGCGTCCGCAGAGGTGCCGCCTGCTGAGGAGACTGCCGAGGAGGCCATTAAAGAAGCTGCCGATGAAGGCGCCCAGGAGACCGTCGAAGAGGCCGCCGAGGACGCTACCGAAGAGGCCGCCGAAGAGTTTACTGAAGAGGCCGTCGAAGAAGGCGCTGCGGCCGTGCCTCATGAGCCTTCGCTGTCCGCTCCTCGTCGTCCAAGCGGCATTGCCTTCCGTCCGGTAAAAGTCTGCTTTCCTTCTGCCTGACCTAACTGCTTTCTTTTTAGAGTTTTACAGTCTTTCTGACCGAATTTTTCGCTTCCAGCCTTCCCAGCTGTTGATGCCGTCGTCCACGGTTGTTGCGACCATCCCCCCTGTGCAGTCGTCCCAGGACTCAATGGTCGTGTCTGAGCCGGCGGTACCTGGGGCCACAGTCGCGAGTGTGCCGAGCCTCCTGCGGACCACCTCGGCTGTCATGACCGACCTTTTGCTCGCCTTGAGTATTTAGTCTTTTTCTTCGTCATTCTTTTATGTCCTAGCTAATCGTTTCTTACCCAAACTCTTTCTTATGTCTAGGAGGCCACCTCCTCTGATGATCTCGAGGAGTTATACGCCAGCCTTCATGAGGAAGGAGGTAGCTCGGCCTCGGCTCCCCTAGACGAGGATTCCAAGATCATCGTTGAGCGGCTCCGAGAGTTCCTTCTCCTTGATGTTCGACAAATGACCGCTGCTAGGGCGATTACGGAGTTTAGGTCCTGCTTGGATACGGCCATGGCGCTCGGTCTGCTCGACTCGGCTCAACTGGATGAACTGCAAGCCCGTCTGGCCGAAGGCGAGGAGATGATCGGCCGGTATGCTGAAGCTGTCACGCGGATGGCCGAGGGGAGCTCGCTCAAGCAGGATCTGGAGGTGATTAAAGAACAAGTTCAACCTGCAATGACCCGATTGAAAGAAAATGACCTCGTCGTCCAACGAGAGAATGAAGAGCTTGCGCAGGTTGAGGCCTAGATTACCGAGCTCCAGGCTCGCTGAGATCTCATCCTCCAACGCCGAGATGGCTCGGTCGCAGCCGGGAGCGAGCTGAAATCCTCGGCCAAGCGAATCCTCAAAGCAGCAACTGAGACGAAGAAGGCCCTGGCCGAGCGGAAGCTGATTCGAGCGAGATGGCA